TTTTAAAAAATTACTCCTTTTTTTCTGTTCCTCCTACCCCCCCCCCCCCCCCCCCCCCCTGACCAAGCCCATCAGAACGAGACTGATTGCAAGACAATCTTCATGCAGGATATAACTTATATTTAGATTTATATATTAAAACGACCTTCATACACTAGATGTTGTATTTTCATATTTTTCTTACGTCTGTATTGATTTAATTATGGCATTTCCAATCTTCTACACTGTTTTTCGATTTTCAATGACAAATAGACTTCCAATTGTTTATGGACAGTTTCCACAATTAAAGTTAAAATGGCGACTTGGCGTGCCAGAAACATATAATTGTTGCATTCTCGTTCATTTTTTATTTTTGATTAGTCGATAATAGAGTTGAGTAGAAAGTTTGATATCGAGACCATTATTGCTTTCAAACAAAATAAAACTTTTATTGAAATCAATGGACTGTTATAATAATATGATCATTAATAAATGTTTTGTTAGACGTCTTGAAGTATTTTCTTGGAATCAACAGTCTTATTTCTACTTCATACTTTGACTCTTTTGTTTAGAATATGAAAAGTTTTAAGATATACTCTTATTCATATCTTATGCATAATTGTATTACATAGCGTTTAGGACAGTGCAAGTAGGGTCTCCGGGACAGATGAGGCCCGGGCTAATGGTGTAATGGTGTACGACGTTTATCGCATTCATCTCATCGTTCGATGTGATTAGCGACGTACACTTTTACTAAAGGAACATGACGTGTAAAGCGTCTGGCGGTAGATGACAAGATAACGTCCGCTTCCAGCTAAAACGATATCGCAGACTAGGAATGGCGTCTCGTCTAGGACAAATAAGAGGACCTGCGCACTGCAATTTTGAACGAAAATAAAGTATCTTTACAGTTGGGAATCGAGAAAGTGCATTAATGTCATTGTTTAGTACTCAACTATTCGTTCTCCTTCTTCAGTGTGGTTTATTATCATTTCATATGTAGAATAAAGCTATTTTATTAACGTTTCATTATTCGATTATATTTATGATTATATAATCATTATCTCTTTTTAATAGGCCATAATCTGTTTTCAATTGGGTCCAACGATTACATATACACATAAAGTAGTAATGTTGAGAATTTAAACCTGGGTGTATAATCAGTGTATTGTTCTAGAACGTCGAGATCGACACACCTATTAGCTATTGCATTCGAGCTCGGGTCTAAAAGCTTTATTGAATTGGAGCTTTCCTAATACTAATAAAAAAAATCCGTACAAGCAAGACAATTCCAAAAAAAAAAAACACAACCTATGACAAATTATTTCAATAGGCAAATCACAGCCAATCTATAGAGTTGTTATTATAAATTTGGTAACCTAGTTGCGTTATTTTCTTAAGACACAGCTATCATAGCAGGAATATGTGATATCGATATTATAGATTGACATGATTCGCACCAACGTTATCAAATACACACTTTATTTATACAGATTATAATATAATAATATATTATATATAATATTATAATAATTATAATTATAATCTGCACAAACAATATACAAATTTGTTCATGGTGACAAACAACTGTGGGAATACAGAGCAAGAACTTCGGAAATTGTACAGGATAACAAACTTACTTAGTTTGGAACCTTTATAGGACAAAGAACTTACTAAATTTGGAACCTTTATAGGACAAAGAACTTACTTAGTTTGGAACCTTTATAGGACAAAGAACTTACTTAGTTTGGAACCTTTATAGGACAAAGAACTTACTTAGTTTGGAACCTTTATAGGACGAAGAACTTACTTAGTTTGGAACCTTTATAGGACAAAGAACTTACTTAGTTTGGAACCTTTATAGGACAAAGAACTTACTTTGTTTGGAACCTTTATAGGACAAAGAACTTACTTAGTTTGAAACCTTTATAGGACGAAGAACCTACTTAGTTTGGAACCTTTATAGGACAAAGAACTTACTTAGTTTGGAACCTTTATAGGACAAAGAACTTACTTAGTTTTGAAATTTTTATCAACTTAGCAGCTTGGAATTTTCATTATGCGACGATTCCCTAGTTTGAAAATTTATGAACTTATAAGTTTGAAAAATTTATGAACTTACAAGTTTGGAAAATGTCGGATGTGATGAACCTGCTCAGTTTGTAAATTTTTATAAAAATACAACTTTGGAAATTCCCTAGGATAACGAATTTTCTTAAGTTTACAGGATTGGAAATTTTAGTAGTCGACTGAAGTTGTTAGTTCTGAAATGCGATGAACATTTAATAACTTATTTTTGGGGAAATTTTAGAAAGCAAGGAACTTATATTTCATATCATGTATACACAATTTAACTGATCAACATCAACAATATTTTTATTGTGCCTTTTGTAGCCTACATCGGTAGAGAGGTTTAAATACCCTTCGTTTTTCACATTTTACTAACTGGAACTGATAACAAACATGGGCAAAAAGATCTTGGCAAACTCTCAAACAGAACTATCATATTGGTTCTGTTTGACACTATTGTGTTTGTTTCCAAGTGTATGTGATTCTTTGAGATATGTCAATGCTCAGGCCACACCAATGCAAGATGCCTACTTGAATTCAACCCCCCTTCAAGTGCAATTCTCTTCGAAAGTGAAATGCGTTGAACTGTGCACTCAAAACATTCTTTGTATGTCCATAAATTACTTTGAAGATACAACTTGCCAACTTCTTCAAGATTTTCTGTGCAATGATAACAACATCTTGATTTCGCATACTGGTGCCCAATATTTTGATGTGGATTTTGGTCGAACAGAACAGGTAAATGTCGAACTTTTTTCATTAATAAAGGTAATTTTACGACATTTTCGATTTTATTATCAATTATTATTTTATTTAAGTATGTTTTATAGCCACAGACAAATTATTCTTAACACCTTGTTTCTTGGTGATAAATCAGTAACTTTAGAATCCATTGACGTTTACACTTTTACAGGTAACAACATTTTTGACGCCATCGGGACAAACTTTTAGGACAATAAGTCTGGCGTTAAATTCGGCTCATACTATCTTCAAGTTATGAATAAGAATATTCTCAATGTTATAAACTATTGTTTTACTGAATATTTTGCAGGAGTTAAATTATTTCAGAAACAAATTTGACTGTGTCTCTGCTAACAAGTGTTCACCGAAATGTAAAGGTAATTATGTACTATGTGGACAATTTTAATACAAATACAGGTAGATAATAATGACCACAATATTGAAGGCGCTTGGTTTATGCTACCGACAAGTGTTTACGACTTCCAACCCTCATCAGGAAAGCTAGTTTTAGAAACGGGAGTCAACTTTCCAAAATAGAACTTTAAGCATACCCTTGCACAATGATTCAAATACATGCATTCTACAGTAACAAGACTCTCAACTCATGTGATGGAGCTCATGTCATACAGCCAGCGAGTGTTACGGACAATCAACCCCTTGTCAGGACAGATAGATAATTATATAAAAGTTATATTTGCTTTCTCATCTCAATTTTGGTTAACCAGAATTCTTTTCAGAGTGCAAATTCTCTTATATTTAAATACACTTTAATGTCCATTTTGTTTTTTAGATTGTACTTTGGGGTCGACCTTCATAAATGTTGCAGCTGGGAGACTTTCTGGAAAAAACTTAGATGTAACTGGTTTCAGATCCATAGCTGAGTGCCAGCAAGATTGCTTAGATAATCCGAAATGTCGTGGAATTGAACATAGTACTTTCTGTTACTTGTCAGATTTGACCCGAGATATGGTCAATCCAGATGCATTTGTAGTCGGCAGCTATCATTATTCCGAGCGAATTTGTAATTAATTGTATAGTTTTCATGAAAAATAAATAAATACCAGTTTCGTTGCAAATTGTGTTTATTAGTTACCAATCAAACTGTGTTATGCAGGACCTGTTTGTAAATAACAACGACGAATAATGGGATTGCCACTAGAGCAATATGGCAGAATCTTTCACTATCTCACAATTTGTCATTGTTTTTCTTTTAAACAGCTCCTACAGAACATGATTTAATTAGTTAAAAATTACTTATATCGAACGCGACTGCTAAAGAAAACTTGTAAGATAACAATGGAAACGAACAATATAGGAAAGATATTTTAATTTTAATTAAACAGGTTTGTATTTGTCTTGAAGGAAAGTAGAACGTAATCTAAAGCTCCAACAATAAATAGATAAATAATATAACCCTAATTAGAAGCACGATGTCATTTGTTAAAGGAATACTACCTCTTAGACAGGACATAAATTTAAAGTCTCAAACTTTGTCAATAAGTGTATATATTCATCAGTTGAACTTATACCAGGTGTCATGACTTAAAAATAGAATCTCTATATAAGACGATCTATACATTTAACTAAATAATTGTTGAAAACGCTTCTAATCATGTAAGAAAATTACTTAGTTCTTTGGATTTATTGGATTCTGTTATCATATTTAGTGTTTATCAATCAAAAACACCATTTTTGTCACTGTAAGAGGTAGTATACCTTTAAATGTGCATGTCCAGTCGAGAAATCAGTGAAGGATGCGAGTCGCTATCAAACACTCAATAGCTATCACTTTATACAATGTAGTTTGAATTGATTATCAATATATAGATTTCTAGAAATTTATTAAACAAAACCCAATATTTATAGAGATTTCAATCAATTATTAGTAGGATTTGCTTACAAAATGAAGTGTCTATTGAATATGTAGTCCGGGACATGTCTGCCACGTTTCTTTATTCTCTGTGGTATTAAATTACATGAAACTTAACAATAGATCATCAGACTTGTAGAGTATATAAAATCTTAATTTTAAATAATAGCAGTTAAAACGAGATAGAAAGCTGTGAACCAAGGATCTATGTTAAAGTATTTTTTTTTATTTTCTTGTGGAACTTAATAAGGGCGAAGTTTAACGTTCATTTGGTGACTACTGTTTGTATCCTTATGGATAGTACATTTTACAAATCAATGTTAATTTAAGATATTAAATGTGCGTCAAAATAACCGATTTTCCAATGATCCTGAAGCAATGTTTATTGACTAATTTAAGAGACGATTCATAATAAAGACAGCCAACAAAGACTTTCAAACATTGATTATTTTATTTCAAACAAACATTAGTATAAATTCTTTAGATCATGGCGAGGAGAGCTCATCAAACCTCCCGTACAAAATTGTCGTATTGGTTCTGTTTGACATTGTTGAGTTTGTTTCCAAGTTTATGTGATTCTTTGAGATATGTCAATGCTCAGGCCATACCAATGCAAGATGCCTACCTGAATGCAGATCCAATACATGTACAATTTGTTCCTTCTCAAATCAAATGCGTTGCACTATGTTCTACGGATCCAATGTGTCTGTCTATAAATTACTTTGAAGATAAAACTTGTCAACTGCTGAAGGATTTTTTATGTGAAAATAAGAAGAATTTGGTGTCGAAACCGGGCGCAAAATATTTTGATGTAGATTTCTTAAGAACTCCACAGGTATGTATAATAAATTCTTTTGATAAAATTAGCATAAGATCGAAGTAGAGCCAGGCCCATAGCCAGATTATTGACAATTAATGCATGAATCAAACAAAACATGTGTTGTGTCGCTTGTTCTGAAAAATAAAGTATTGTTTTCAATTTTCGAGCGGGTTACTCAACTTTTAACTATAGGTAGAATGCAGTTAGTGGTTTTACGTAAAATTAACAAACAAGACAATTGATAAAATTTGCTTTTATCACAAAACGGTCTCTTAATCAGAAATTCAAGACATCAACCTCGCAAAGTAAAATTTTGTCTTATTGGTATTGGTATTAAGTATTTGTTTTTATTTACATATATTTCACATTTATTTCCCTGTCGATCAAAGTTTTATTTCATGAGCTAATTTGTCAAGATATAATATTATAACATGAGGTGAGGTTAACGAATCAGCTCTTTCATGTTAATTATAACCATCAATCAGGATTCAATTTAAGCTGTATCGCATCGAAGTTTGCCATTCAAAATGACTCTTTCTGCGATTCAATATTTCCTTTGATAAGCCAAGATAAAAATTGATCACGACGATCTGCAAATCAATTCAAATTTGATGGTTTACTACTGGAACTTTTTCAATAGCTACCGATTTTTAAAGAAATGCTAATCCAAATTTTAAAATTAATTAGCCACAACTAAAATTTTAAAATTAATTAGCCACAACTAAAATTTGGTGTGATAAATTGCTAATAAAATTTTGCAATCTGAATAAAACCCTGCAGTTAATGGTCCTTTGGAACATTTGATGCCGCGCCTTGAGTGACTCAATATCAAATTAAGGGAATTCACAGAACTAATAACATTTTTACTCGGTTCATTAAGGGAGAAAGTCTGTTCTTTTTTAAAGTAAGATGAAAAATTTCGGTGCTCAAATCATCTCAAGTATTTAAAACAATCATCTAGAATTAAAAAATAACGACGTGGGAAAAGCGCCTTGTTGTTCGGGTGGAACAACAAACAATGCACGTTAAAGATCCCTTGACTGTTGGAAATCGAAGAAGAGTAGGATAATGTCGTTGTTCCTGCAATATTTCCCGCATTGCACACTGTATGATGTTGCCTATCCACAATAACCCGAACAGATGCAGAAAAGTTGGTCGCAAAATGTCATTTCATAAATAAATAACGGGAATAATTGCCGTCGTTTGATGAAACGGCAAAAGGGTAACGAATGATCGACAGAGGTTCCCTTTCATTCAATATTTTTCCAGATCTTATATCTTTGTTGTTTTGACGAAATAACCTTGTCGCCAAAGTAACAGAATTATGCACCTCCGGAAATTGGGTACCCCCCTGCCTCAATCCCAATCAGTTAGGACACTTTGCTTCAGTCATATATCTATTACATGTACAATTATCGGGACAACGTACCACAGGTGGCGTCAACGTACCGTACTCAGCTTTTCAATTTCTTTCATGAATTTTTACTTTTTTACTTCAGGAACTACACTATTACACCGCCCATTCTAATTGCATCAGTCTAAACCGATGTTCACCGAAATGCAAGGGTGAGATCATTGTTCCTTTAAGATGAGGACACACGAACGGTCTTGCTCGAAGATTTTTTTCGCCGACTAGAGTCTTGTCAAGAGTTTCACCGACCGCACGGGAACACGAGGAGAAAAAATTCTCCGGTCAGTCGTTTTCCATCATGTCGATAATCACGTGCAGATCATGCAATTGAAATGAAAATGAATCCGAGTTGACGACAATACTATTGGAGACAATTATCAAACTTATATAAATCCTGTTGGGACACGATAATCTTGGCCACACGCGAGATGTTACTGAAAACTCTTATCGGCGACAAAAATCTCCGACCAAAACCACTCCTGTGCCAGCACCTTTAGCAACGGTAGTATATTTCACAGTCCCATATTCTCGTCATTAATTGTGATTGGTTGAGTTAACTTCTCAACCCTATTCCAAATCGATTCATTATAATTCTGGTTGATTCATGAATCCTAATTGAGATCCTCGATCATGATCGCCATTATGACTCGGGTATATCAGTCTGACAGGGAGTCGTGTATCTCATTTCTGTAGTTTAAATGACAATAAGCATTCGTTTTTAATTTCAGACTGTACTTTGGGCTCGACGTATACAAATATTGCTGTTGGGAGAATTAATGGAAATAACATAAATGTAGCTCCCTTTAAAAGCTTGACCGATTGCGAACAACTCTGTTTAGCTAATCCAGAATGCCGTGCATTTGAACATGAGAGCATATTCTGCTTTCTATCAGCCCTCACTAGAGATATGATGAACCCAGACGCTTTCGAAGTGTCGCCTTACCACTATGCCGAAAGAATATGCACTTAAAGCGATTAAAAGGCAATAAAACAAGATATGACATCATTTTTTTTATATAATTTGGATCAAAAACTGGAATATAATTATAAAATAAAATTTTGATTTATAATTATATTCCAGATTTTTAATTCAAAATTGAAAAAATAAATGTTGTCGTCTACGAACCACCGTATTTGTACGATATTTAGAAGCGGAGAGCTCATAAATATAACAAACACGAAAAAGGGGAATATATTATGGTATAGCACACTTCTTTAATAACAAAGTACATAGTGTCTTAACAGAATTTGCACGTGACGTCATCAGGTGAAATGATATAATCTAATGACCTGTAAATTGTGTTGAAACGTTACGTACTTTGTTATTAAAGTAGTGTTATAGGCTTACCATAATATATTCCCCTGTGTTTGTTGATAAAGATCATATCATAATTAGTTAGTAATTATGTTGATTATTGCACTAATTATATATCAATTGTTGTCCGAATCGTATTCAGCATCGTGTCTAGACCAATACTCCGTGTATTCGCTTCTTCTATGTTTTTACTGTATCGATAATCCTGCACCGCACACCGTACCTGATCTATTTGCAGACTTATTGTAACTATATTACATGTTCCGACATTGCACACACTTAATATGTAAGTTGTGTCGAAACGTTGCATAAAACTTTAATCAGTGAATGAAATGAAAAGTACCAAATTGAAGAGATTAAATTGATGTATGGCGTTTGTATTTTTTTAATGTACACCAGATTAAATGAAGAGGGGGGTTAACATGAAAATATATATTGTTTCTGGATATATTTCGTCTCCATTGTAATCTAATAAGTTTTATACAACAGTCCGTTCTAATGACGTTATTTTTAACCAATCAAAGTGTATCAATTCAAGGAGCATACTACTAAGTGTACACTGTACATTCTCGTGCAAATTCTATTTTCATTGATTTCTATTAAAGTGTTTACAAAAAAATGTATCGTTCAGGTTTTGTTCCAATAAAATGTTCAGGTTTTTTTCCATTGTTTACTGTAGGCTATTTTACTATTGTACTACAGTCATGTATACACCAAATACCCACTGTTTCTTTTGTCTCTTTATTAAAAAGTTCCACATCTTAGATGTTTTTTATGGCTTTGTAGATATTATTTCTATGATAAGGTTAACATATATTTGTCTGTTGCTTTCATCCATCCACGACTTACAACCTACTCGACCATCTATGTCTTGGATGACCAACGTGATATGTTTATTTTCTTCTTTTAAGATATATCCTCATATTTTCACAATATCACAATTCAATGCGGTAATAATTTTATCATTAAAATTTATATTTATTTTTTACCAAATCCATTTACACACTGTAATAAAATATTGTTTATCTGTTTACCTGTTCTTCTGTCTGCTGTAAAATGCTTCTTGACCTCCTGATTTTAGTTAAAACTTACACAATCGACTGCGCATGCGGGTACGAGACAATAGAATATGTACTATTTTAACAGTTTTGGGAATGATTTTGTTTGTTTGATAAGAAATTTATTGTTGGTTGGTCAATCTTGAGTTCAGGATTTGGATATTATTGATAAAAACTTGGAGTGAATTTTGATTTAATGTTTTTCCAGGCTGAGTTGAGATTAGATTTAAAGTTGTTTATGGAGGTTGAGTTTACAACATACTCTGGTAGGGCGTTACAGTCATTGACTTCTCTAATGGCGAAGGAGTTCTTTCTTACGTCTAATATTGTTCGCTGCTTTCCTAGTTTCTTACTGTTACCTCTGGTTCTTGTGTTTGAAGTTAGTGTTAATAGTCTGTTGTTGGATAGTTCGTCTTTTCCACTGAGGAATCTGTATACTTGGATCATGTCCGTTCTTTGTCTCCCATACTCAAGAGTTGGTAAGCCTAGAAACTTTAGCCTTTCAGGATATGGTAGATGTCTCATAGTTGTTATTACTTTGGTGGCTCGACGTTGGGTGTTTTCAATTGCTCAATATGCTTTTTCAGGGTTGGGTACCATACTGATACAGCATTTTCTAGGTGCGGTCGAATCAGTGATTTAAAGATCGGTAGAAACATTTCCTTTTCAAGATGTGTTTAACTATTAAAATTAACAAATCATTAAGCTACATATATATTATATTGACAGTACCAAAGTTAGTTTAAAATGTCTGATTTTATTTCTAACAATTACTGTAAAATAATATTGCATCGTTTCATCGATGGTTCTTTATCAAGCATAATATTCTTTTAAGTTTTTTTTTTATCATAATGCAGACATTTTTCGGATTATTAGCATGAATGCGGAAAAACGTCTTTGGTAGTCGAGACAAGAATGGCGGCAAATTGGATATAGTAGATATATCACTTAAGTATTTTGTTAGTTTTTCAAATTTGAAATAATTAATAGATATCGATTGGTTTTATCTCGATTGTAACTAATTGACTGAAGCTGCTGGCATGTGTTTCAGATAAAAAAATCTTCATCAGGACAGCTTTATTTGAAATGGGAGTTTTATTCAAAATAATTTAGACATTTCGGATTATTAACATGAATGTGGAAAAGCGTCTTGGCTAGTCGAGACTAGAATGGCGGCAAATACTGTCAAAATTATGTTTTCAGAAGAAGTATGTGTTATAATATAGATCTATGTGGATATTGTGACTTTAGTTTGCTAAGCATTTGACGTGTAATTGTTGACAGAGTTTCTGCTTGAACAGATATATCCTTTTGTATGTAATAATGGCAGATAAGGAAAAACAACCAAGTGAAAACGGCCAAACGAAGAGTCAAGAAAATGGTGAGGTCTTAGACTTGGATTTAGAAGATGCAGAAACCATTATAAAAGTTCATTCATCAAATCTTAAAGGAAGAAAGAAATACACTTTAAATGAAGATATAAGAATATTGACATATATTGCCACTAAGAATCAGTGGACTAATGTTACTGGGACAATACTATGGGATGTCATGGAACGATCGAAAGTTACTGATCATTCATGGCAATCAATGAAATGTCGTTACTTAAAATATATCCTACCTGCCATTGACAATTATGATATACCTAATTCATGGAAATCATTATTAACAGGAGACACTAGCAAAGCTTTGAGTGATATTAGCTCTCCCACAGCTGTGTTTAAAACTAATAACAATAATCAATCAAAGGAAGGAAACTCTAACTTTGGTTTGTTTGGAAATCACCCCCCACCATTAAAGAAGAAGAGGTCATCAAATGTTGAAAATGTTATAGAAAAAACAATTAGTTCCTCACCGAGAAAACTCTCAGACCCAAACTGTAGTGCAATAACGTCATCCACCGTTACACCGTCACCACCAAAATCCCCATTAACTAACCCAACTTCCACTCCAAAGCATGAAGATGCTTGTTCAAAGTTTGTGAATATTGCAATGAATTTAGAAGATCAGATTGAGGAATATGATTCACGAGAAATGAGTGAAGATATTTTAGAGCCAAATAAAAGTGTTGATGTCTCCATGGCGGGCAGGTTGTCTTCGGGGTCAGAAGACGAATTTGATATCAACTTGATGAAAATGGCAGCTGAAAATAAAAGTGAAAATTTATCAGTTGAAGTTGAGGGTAAGAAGAATTCACTGATTTCTGATAATGATAGTGCTGGTATCAATGTTTTGTCACAACCTGAAGAAACTATACAAAGTGAATCATGTTTGCAAGACCAAAAAAACAATTTAGAAACATCAGATGTGATATGTTGTGATGATGAATTTGATCAAAATTTAATTGAAAAGGCCAAAGAAGGGTGCAAGCCTACCTGCTTAGATTCACTCAGTTCGAGGGGGGAAACTGAATCTCCTGTAGAAAGAACTACTAAAAGACATACTAAAGGATCCTCCCTGCGTGATTTTGTTGCTAATGACACAAGTGAACTCTCAACAGATGAAACTGAAGAATCCACAACTAATGATCTGACCAAAGTTGTTGAAGAATTTCAAAATAAATATGGTATTAACAAAGCACAAATTATCAGTGTTCTGTGGTATTTTAGTGGTAATGTTAAAAATGCTATGCAATGGATTGAGTTTGGTTCAGATTTAAGTAATTTACAACCTTGGTGTAAGGGAGATGACTCTTTATTAACAAGTACAAATGAAAGGGATATAAACTATTTAAAAGAAAAGTACACCGCTGAAAATATTGCAGAGAGAAATTTATTCTTTGAAGAGTTTTAACTTTAAAATTTTGTCATATATTTTTTTTAACACAAAGTGATACTAGGTTTTAGTTTAATGACATCTGTACAGGTACTTAATTTTATTTTTTATTAAGAATTGATCACGGAACAAGTTTTAAATACTTAAGATTAGTTAATGATAATGTTTCTGATTGTATTCCCAAGATTTGTTAAGTTATGCCCTTATGAAAATGTGTATGTTTAGTTTTGTTGCCTATGTTCTGTAGTTAATTATGTCCACTGCCTTCAAAAAGTGTCTCAGTGCCATTTAGTAATTGGGATGATTACTGATTTGGATCAATGAGACTTTATTTTATTGACCATATTATATCTTGATTGGCAAGCAATGTTTGTTACCTATGTTTTGCAATAAGAACTTTTATGTTAATTATCATACATGTTATTTTACTTATGTTATGTTTTCAAATCCCTTTAGGGGACACCTTATTAATTAAAGGTTTTTTAATTCTGTGAAACCTCTCAATGAAATGTTAGGGCCTACTTTACCAAGTTGCTGCATTCCGTGTTACAAGAAAAGTGGCTATTACAGTCAAGGTATAAGACGAAGTACTAGCTCGATATTGTGGAGATGAGCTGCAGGCTCTTTTCCTGATTAATAAACTTGGACTTGGATAAAGTCACCAGCCCTACCTAAGGTGATGGCAAACAGCATAATTACCTCTTGTCCTAGATCACCCGTTCCAGCGCCAACGTCCACGATCCTTACACCACTTCTCTTACTAACGGGAAATAATTTCCCTACAGCCTCGCCTACAACTTCAGGCCCGCGATATCTAATTTTTTTAAAAAGGTAAAAAATCTGAATACATGTAGCTATGGCATTTTCACTATTCAAGACCATGGAGGTAACAAAGGGGTTAAAATTCGAAATGGCTACAAAATACAAACTGTTTAAATTCAATTTTAGTCAAATACCTATGCCTACCAAGTTTTAGGCCTATATACATTACTATTTGGCAAGTTCTATATATTTGTAACTTGGAAATTTTTTATATTTCTTCAATAAATGAATCAGCTTATAGTGAAGTATCGGTCAGAAAGTGATCTAAAAATTTCTCCTTACCTGTGCATATTGACCAGAAGCAGCCCATTCGACCATTCTGGCCACTAGTTCATCTTCATTTAATTTACGTTTCTCTTCAAATTCATTGGTAATGGTAAATGCTTCACTCATACTTGAAGTTCTTTCTGGAGTTCTAAACTGGACAATGTAGGCTACGTAAGCGCCGATTCACTTTATATAGCCTACATTTTCAGACAGCTTAATAACCAATACTTTTGCATTAATGGATTATTTTTCGCCATGCTTTAAGTATTTTTGCCTACCTCTCTGGTTGACTGATTGCAGGCGTTCATTAAAGTACATTATTGTTTAATAAAGCAGATAAAAGATTTAATCAATTGTTATTAGGCCTACAGTTTCTAAATTAACAGTATTATTAAAATTCATATCATATCTTAGGGTTTTTTAACATATCGCCACTTCATAAATCCAATTGCCTCAGGATAATAAAGGTGCTCTAATGCACATGGGACCATGGTTTAGGGGGAGGGGGGGCAAGTGTAACTCCACTTCGTACAATAAATAATAGCTACTAGTCTCGATTAGAATTCACACCCAAATATCATAATTATAAAATATACGGCGAAACGGGGATGGGGGAAATGGGAAAATGAAAAACAAGAGACAAAATAAGGAAAGGGTGTATAGCAAAAGGAGTGATGTTTGAAATGGGCGAAATGGTTGGGACGATATGGGAAAAGGATGTAATAGAGAAGGGGCGAAATGGGATCCAAATTTTGTACGTATTTCCGAACTCGCGTCTTACACTACCTCTTCATTAATGGCGAGTTCCGGATGAACCAAACGTTTGCTCAAAAAATATCGAAAAGGGTGTTATCCGACTTTACGGTTACGAAAAAGGTCGCTGAAGGTAATGATTTAATGCAATTTAATTAAAATATTTGCACGTGTTTGCATTTTGAGCTGCAGTTGGACAAATATTTGCTGTCTTTTACAAATTCACACCACACACACTCACAGTACACACCAGTTTTTACTATAACTCTATCATTGGACTCTATCATTGGGTTCATCGATTGTGATAGTAATAAAAAACGATTACAAAATCATTTTTTAGTTGTTAATTGGAACAATAGGAATAATCACAGCCTGTTTTATCGCAAATAAATGTCATTTTAGTTGAACTGCTGAAAGCAAAATGAGTTTTGGAGGAAATAAACCGTCCAGTTCTGGATTTGAATTTAAAAAGTTTGAATCTGCTGAAGAGGTAGAAGAAAAGAAGAAGAAAAGGCAAGAAGAATGGGAAAAAGTTCGGAGACCTGATCAGCCTCTAGGTAATGATTATTTGTTATTTATAGGGGGATTTAAATCATCAACACTTAGTTATCCAGACCTACAAACTTTTCTTTCAGCTGTCTTCTTTCTACTCAGAATTATGCTAAGCCATAATAATGTAACATGCTTCCAATAACAGTACTAAAAGTTTAATTCTGCTTATTCCAGAATGCCCTGAGGAAGATACAAGAACACTTTTTGAACAGCTTGAAGAACAAAAACAAGCCAAAGAAATGGAATGGGAAGAGGCACATAAACTGAGTGAGTACAGTTCTTTTGATGATGATAATCATTGGTTTGTCGGTTTTCATAATTACTTGATGGTTGTATGGTTATGTGAGTTTCTTTTATCTCTTCTATACTTTCAGAAAATTCTATAAAAGGTTTAGATGAAGAGGAGGTTGATTTTTTAGAAGAAGTTTCAGATCGACAAATACAGCTTGAAAAAGCCATTAGATCTGAAGAAAAAACTGTCTTAAATGAACTGAAAATATCCTTTAAGAATATTTACCTTGCAAGTCAAAGAGTCAATGCATTTTAAGTGTGTATGTGCCTATTTACGTCATACAGGAATATTGTGATATGGCACAGATTAAACTGAATGTTATGGTGAAAACAGTTTGAATTTGCGACCATTTTTTAAAATGAAAGGAGACTAGATTATCTTAACAGTTCTTGTTATTTTTAGGCCAAAGCATAAATATATTGTTATAATTAACAAAATTTCAAAAAAATTTCTTATAAGGAAATATGGTCCTTTTCTCCCTATATAGACTTATTTTTTTGGGTTTCCTTAACATATCTTTACAATGCTTCAGCTTCAGTGTTGACTGAGACTGACAAAGAAAAAAGACTCGATAAGCCTTCATCATCTAAATCACAACCTATAGCTTCCAGTAAAAAATCACAACAAGCCCTGTTAGCTGGGGCTGTGAAACGAAAAAGGTACATTATTAAGATTGTACATGCTACATCTATTATAATTTGGTACACCTATTAAAACATATGTTTCTAATTGTCAAACTTCAGTAGGGATGCAGGCTGAAACAGGTCAGTTGTCTGAAGATCGCATAGTGTTTAACTCTGAGTAACATAATTTGGTATCATAGTAATTAAAAACATATTAATTTGGGGTTAAAAAAGGGTTGAGTTATTTTTTTTTGTGGAATGAAATTATAGCATGATGACTCTGCTTTAAAGTCTGCATTTAAATGATGCAAGTTCTTTCAAAATTGTTTTATAATTCTTCCAGTACCGATGATCATGGTGATTCAAAGCCGGCAAAAGTGGATTCAGGTACAGTAATTCTTGGGGTTTTTGTTGGATATTTTAGTGTTAAGAGTGAAGAAGTTTGCTGGCACTGACGAATTTTAGTAATAGATAAATATTATGAATTTATATGTTCAGTACAGTAAAGTCAATTATACTTAATTATGGCATATATTGTGATTTTTTTTCAAGATAAAATCATCTGCATAATCTTTACAGTTCATTACTTTCAAACAGACCATATATTTTACTGATGTATTATGTGATATCTACTTTATAATGACCTGGTTCTATATATTGTTTTCTTTTGCAATCTTTAGAGGCAGACAACAATGGAACTGTACAGTCAACTGTTCAAACAGCTAAAGTAATTGGTATTTTACCAGGCATTGGATTTTATGATGATCATAGCAGTGACTCGGACTCTACTTCTAGTGATTCTTCTATTGAATTATCTCGTCCTATTAAAATTAAGAAAGTGGTAGTACAACAGGCTGATGGATGAGTTTCATTGCTTATGTTTCACTCGTTCATTGTTCACTTCAACATAAGTTGCATTTAGACTTTTTGGATCAACTCTGCAGTCCAGTGTTTGTGTGGAATTTATTTCAAGAAACCTTACAGAATTTTCTATATATCCTAGCAATACAATTGTTTGCATTTGATGGGACCTATAGATATACATATATTCTTAACTTTAGTTTGTTTCGTTCCATTTATTTCATTGTACCAAGTCAACTTAACTTCTGTGGCTGTTTATTTAGATAATTGGGGACAATCCTCAATGAAGTAGAAAAAAAAAATGCTGACTGCATATTGGCCAACATCTATCAAAAGTTAAATTATAAGAATTGTCATAAAATTTATCTGATAAAAATGTTTGATTCAAAAAAGTTCCACAAGTGGGCATGTTATAACTACTTCATAATGCATTGTTAACATCTTCATTTTTCATTGTTATATTTTACATTGTAAATAAAACTGTTATCATACTGAGCTTTGCTATCTATTCATGAAGCTATTGTATAATGTAAGCTAGGGGTATAAGAGAAAATGTTGTTTTATTCTGATGTGAAGGGACAGAAAACAGGATGCTGCAGGCTTTCCCATTTCAAATCATTAGATATATTCATCAGTGATGAAAGGACGAATTGGAATTATGGAATAAGTATAATTATTCCAAAAAGACGTAAGCTTTATGAATTTTCCAAGAAGGATAAAGAAGCCATGAACCAATTTATTTCATAATTACAATGTGAATGAAATGTCAACTATTTACATTGAAATGTACAAATGATTACATAGATTTATTAGAGGACCAAATCATTAATACTGATAATTATGCAAAAATAAATTTGATACACAAAAATATTTCATATGCTCTGCTGAGCTGACTCATATTTACCAGTTACTTTAGTCTTCACTTGTAGCCTTTTTAACCATGGGAGTAAATAAACAATATATGTAAATGTACACAAGTCTTTTAGACAATATGAAGAATTTTACAAAAAAATATTTCAAGTTTACATTGGCCACTCTTGAGTAATGTACCGATAAGTCACATATCCTCAACAGATTTAGCCAATTAAGTTTATGGAAAATTATATATTTTTTTCAGAGAAAATTGTTATGTAACAAAAAATCTACAACATATAAAAGGAATTGGACATGAAATACAAGAAATGGTTATTTACAAATACAAACTAATCATTTACACGTGTAAAGTGGTGATTAAAAGAGATTGAATGAATGACTTTAAGTGTTTTGTAAGCATTTGGTAACAGAATACTTCACTTCAGAAATTCTGAACTACCACACTGTAAACTGATAGAAATGATTACAAAACAACTAAAAATCCTTTCTTCAATCCCATAAAGCGATATTCATGGAATATGTTATATTATCAATTCATAATCTCACAATATATATACATCACATATTTCTCATTGGAATTTAAATAAACTTATAATTGAGATTCATCATATATATAAAATATTTACAGCTAACCCTTGAATATCAAGGAATTTATCTCCAAATGTCATGAAAAAGTCAACTCCTCATCACGAAAAGCAAGTGTCTTTCCACATAGCATTTCGAACCACAACCTAAAACTGTCCCTGATTATACTGATAATTCCCAGCTTGTCCTTGACCTTGAGGTGGCATTTGATTTGGCATCTGACCCTGAGGCATCGGTTGCATTCCACTACCCTGCATTGGATTAGGCCCAGGACCACTCATCTGATTATTTGGAGGCATGTTCCCCCCGGATCCTGGAGGAATGTTATTGGGCATGTTACCCTGGCGATTAAAAGGTGGATATCGTTGTTGACCTTGACCTGGTGGGTAATACTGTCCTTGACCTTGAGGAGGCATATTTGATCCCTGGTTGTAACCTTGGGGATTTTGGTTGTAATTTGGTTGTCCTTGAGGTTGGTTGTTATATGGTGGTTGGTTTCCAGCCATCTGTTGAGGATAGTTAGGTTGATTATAGCCAGGTTGACCTCCTGAACCTACACAAATAAATCAAATAAACAAAAACCAATTTAATAGATTTCAAAAATACAACTGACATGTCAGAAAAAATCATCAAACAAAAATAAACAGTACTTGAAGATATTATGAGAACAATTATATTATTATACACAAATCAGCCACCAAATGAATTTAAAATGGCAAAAGTCTATATGATAGTTTGATGGCACGGTATATCTGTATCAGGACATGACATGTCACATATTTGTCACGATACATATCCATTGTGTCAACAGCTATCCAGGTGCCGTATTCTCGAAACAATCATAGAGCTAGGATGTCCTAGGTTCTTATCTTCAAACATTGATTCTAGAACATCCTAACGTTAGATCGTTTCGAGAATACAGGGCCAGGATCCTAGAATCAGCATGCAAGATACACATAGTTGTAAATGAATGGACTCTTACCTCCTGGACGTCTGTAATTATTGGGAGTCATCTGTCGATTACCCATCATATTATTATTCCCTGGCCCTGATTGGTTGTTCATCATTTGACCGCCACTCCCTTGTGACATCATAGGTTGGTTGCCCTGCGACATCATTGGTTGATTACCCTGTGACATCATTGATTGATTACCCTGTGACATCATAGGCTGGTTACCTTGGGACATCATAGGTTGTTGATTAGGGTAACCTCCCTGATTATAATGAGGCATATTACCTTGGCTTCCCATTCCTTGACCTGTAATGAAAATACATTATTTCAAATGAAATGACCTTTTCATTTTGGTCTGATAGGCGAGCAACACCATGCAAAAAACCATTGTGTGAGAATTCCAAGAACCCAATTTCTTAAAAGATTGCTGATGGTCAACACGAAGTTTGGTCTTTTAACTCTTATGTTTTTGAAAATACCACTGCCACATATTACACATTAATGCATATTACACAAAATAAACACTTAAACTTACTTTGATTCATGAGACCAGGTTGACCAGGACCGGTTGTTGGTGGCTGTCCCATATTTGGTCTAGGGTACCCTGAATTTGTACCACCCTGAGGTTGATTACTGGACATAGGGTTATTGAAACCAGATTGACTGCTCGGTGGCATTCCTGGATTTCCAGCAGAATTAGGAGGATTAGAACCAGGTGGCATTGGATTTCCTGAAAATAAATGAAATCTAGTTAAACCCTACTGATTAATTCTTATTCTATCGTAAATATTTTATAAGGATTATTTCATGCAAAAACAAGATACAAAGGAATTTACCTGAATTCATTTGTGTCATCTGACCTGGGGGTCTCATTTGACCTCTTGGAGGTTGATTAGGCATATTTCCAGCTGTAGAACTCATCTGTCCTGGCGCCTGAAAATATAATGAATGGTAACACATGAATTTAATGCTTCCATGATTTCTGTTGACTCAAAGCATTAAAAGCCACAACATTAAAAGCTTATAACATTCCTTTAGTGTATTTTTTACACAGCAATCAGCTTGTGATAATGACTGATTCCATAGGTAAATGGGAAGGGGGTCATTCTTATAAAACTAGATATCAAGTCATAGCTGAATTTGAGATAGTTCAAGCGTAACCCTTGTGGCCTGTTGATTTCATTGATAAAATACTCAAATGCTGGTTCTAAAGACAAAGCCATTACAAAATACTTACTGGCAGTAAAGCCTGAACATTTTGATTTGAATCAGCCACTGTAGCTAAATATACCAGATTTCTGTGTAATACTTGTTGATATCTGCAATATCATAAAAAAAAAAATTATGAAAAAAGGAAAATATAATTAATATTGCTAACTTTTTAAATTACCTATTTGAATTAAGAGATATCTAATATAGCCATATTCATAATGTGAATTTCTTCAAACCTAGTACTCATTGATAAAGCTTTGATTGACTAAAGTAAGGTCGTTAGATTGCAGACAGTTGCTGTGTCACTGACTCACTGGCATAAAAAAAAAAAGTTACTCACTGTAAGCATTCTGTAGCCTTTCCACTATTCTGATAATCTGCTATTGTTTGAATTAACTGATTGTTCTCATCCAACATCTAAATAATAATTTAAAATATGAATAGATTCAGTTCCTTTTGAATGGACTGTAAGATTCATTCAAAGCATGATAAATAGATATACCATCAGCAATTAGTGGCATAAAGAGATCCTGAATATTCTAAATAGTACCGTACATAAAATGCTTAAGTTATAGTCATTGAAAGCAATATCAGTGAATAATAGTTGGGCTATATAACTATAAGGCTCTGAAATGATGTTCATGTAACCAGACATCTTTGTTTACAGATTCAAGATATGTCACTGTTCTAGCAGAATTTCCTTCATTATACATGACGTTGGGGTTTCCATTGTCCTAAAAGTTGCACAAATGCATGCATGTGAAACTCACTGCAAATTCATTTTATCAACAAGAGCAGAGTTCTTTCCCCTGAATTGTCTCGACTTTCGAGAGAAAAGAAATATTTATCTGTTCTATCATTCTTTGTTACTGTACCTTTTGAATGGTGTCTTGGTTAGGTTGGGGGCCTTTACCCTTTTGAGGTGGAGCAAACGCAACAGACATTTTATTTCTAAAAAAACTCAAATATTTCCACAACAAAGAACAAGTGCGCCGTTTCTTCTTTCTCTGTCACCGGTGGTTTCTTCAAATTTGGAACACGACTCGCTGTTTAGTTAGAAAGAAACGAACGAATTTGCCAGACCTTCGAAGATTGATTAAAACCACGCTTAAAATCATTGGACAATCTAATGAACTTTTTCAGAATTTAATCATGTATTTATAAAAGAAAATAGAAGTTAAATCATCTCCATGACAGTATTTTATGTGTAGCCCTTTGAATTCAGACCACAAAAATTTCACAAAGTCATTCATCTCAGAATATTGTAGTCCGAACCAGAGATACCACCGTATTCAAATTTCAATCAAGATAAGATCTAATATGGACTTAAAATTGTTAACGACTTTCATTAGCTTAATAACTAGTTTATCTTGACCTTGGGTACACTTGACATTTTCTCAAAAATTTTACAGGAAATTTCATTTAATAAGAGAATGACCACTGACCGGGCCACATCGTCTAAGGTTAAAAGACAGGACTTTTTTCCTCGAAAGACCTTCTTTCTTAGCAATTGTGGCGAAATTAAGATGCAGCTCAAATACTGTAATCTGGAACAGGAACAGTCCTTATTTACTCGTAAAGAGGGGGAGGGTGTGGTGAAGTAGCCAGAAGTCGACATCGCATATGGATTGCTGCGGATAAGCGTGTAAGCCATTACGATTACTATTAGACTTTCAAAGTGGCAAACATTCAACTATTTATCGCTGGGACATTACTGAGCAAATCTTAAATCATAGCAAATACAAATTCATCAATTTATTTCTGAAGGATATCATGATGTCGACCAAAGAACTTTGGAATGACGGTTTAACACTCCCTCCTCCCCCACACCCAACCCCACAAAAGGCCAGAGTATACAATTTTGTTTGTGGAATTTTTTCCATCATTTCATTATAAGACTGTATTAAATATTGAAAGAACAATAACTCAAATTGCAAAAAATCACGATTTAAGCATTGTTTAAAAAAATACCCCGATCTTCCCTTCAGAGGATTTTGGTGGTGCATAATATGTGTCTCATCGCAATAAAAAAAAAAGTAGGCCAATGTTAGAAAACTTGCTAAATATTCTGAGTTCTGAAAAGCCATCGTGGTTAAACATGAAACTCCGGAATTGCCCCATTGTGTTCAATTGCTGCTTGAGATTAATTACTATGTAAGAAAACGCGCGTAATATGATAGATGTGATTGGATCATCGAAGAATAGTCAACCAATCAAATGTCTTAACCTTTATGGAATATATTATTTGGAACATTATTCAGTACATTAACTGGACTGACCTCGTTATAAGAGGTAATTAAAATAGAAATTAAAAATAGTTGTTCGCTGTATGACTATTGACCTCGAAATCAAGGGAAGTAGAGCTATCAAGATGGCGACAAAACTGACCAAGGGACATTTTTATGTACTGTATCATATACTTTTACTGTGTTTTATTATGTATCTAACTGTGCAGATTAACAGCGTCATTCCTCAAGGATATTCTAGGCAGGAATCAAAGTTCGGAAATTCTAACACTCAGACATTCTTGGATAAATTAAGACTTGTGGCGGAAGGGGGTGGTGATATTTCGGAAAATGAGGAGGAATATAATCAAAAAGACGAAAGAACTGAAAAAATAAGAGTTCGTCGGAATACGGGTATCTTTGAAAATCTCACAAGAGGACTATTTTCAAATTTTGTTAATAGATCGTATGCTATACGTCACGAGCAGTGGATAGAAGAAATAATGCCCAGTTTGATCGCACTGGAAAACATTGTTATTCGTGAAGCGCAGAAGACGAAACTTGCTTTTCAACGAGTCAATATTAAACTTCGTGAGCTTGAGGCAGCCGTTCAGGGACTGGCTACATCTTCCATTAGCGACACAACAACCGAAGCCGATACCGATACATTTACAACTCTTGAACCGGAACTTATGGCATTAACAAACACATCTGAGGCTTACAACACGACGGACGAAATGGAAAGCTCCGGAGACGTCGAAGGTCTAGATTATGTTACGGCCTTACCAGCGAGCTACAACGATACACAGAACTATGTCTTCGACATGAATAATCTACTGAAACCGTTGTACATCATTATAGAAGAATTGGAACATAAAGTTTCGGAGCAAAAGGCTTATGCTGCTAGAACGGAGGTTAACCAGAAGAACATGCAGACCTCACTGTACCATTTAGAAGATACCATCAACGATGAACAGAGAAAACTTCGGCAACTCGCCACTGAATCCAGTCATCACCGTTCTAGAATGGCCAGTATAGAGAACCTGATCAACACACTTGATGGAACTGAAATTAGAGTCAATGCTAGAATTAATCGCCTAGAAGATGAACAAGCAGATCTATTCGATATGATAGATGAACATGGTGAAAATTTCCGTGATATGAAACGCTCTATCTATAAAGCTACGCAAACTGTTAAAGATTTGGAAGGAGCAGATACAGTTCACGAACGAGACACTCGGACACTCCAACAGAACTTGTCGAGGCTTCAACAGCTGATGACTCGTATTTATGGAACAGTTGATAGTTCAGTTCATGATCTACGAGATGAAATCAAGGGTGATTTATCCAGACTGTGTTTTAACAATAAACAATTAGTTTGTTGATCTTTCATGTGAATTATTTCAATAAAACCCGAGTGTTGTTTATGTTTGATTTTTTTTTATCTTAAGAGAGTAGGTATGGCACACAGATACTTGTCAAAGTCAAATGAATCGAAATGGAGTTTAACTTCACGTCCTATATTTTTTTTTATTCTTGTGCGGCTGGTCAATCAAGTAGCCATAACGAATGGTTTGAAGCCATTGCTAAGCCTTCTCTCTGTAATTACATTTGTTAAATTATATTTTATACATGCTTTCCATGACAACAGAATATACCTAAAGTATGTTTACAGAGTGTAATTTTCTGCCAGAAATATAGATTATGGTGCGCGTAGATTGTTCTTCCAATGTTTAGTTTGGTAAGCTATAGATAAATATAGAGAGAAACAACGATCTTTTTTTTCAGAAACCTAAATCGATATGTTATGATGCTTGTTCGTGTGATATTTTTAACTAAGAGATGTGTTAATACCAGATGTATGAGGCAATATTTTTTTCTTTCAACTCACGAGCATCCCAAGACAATGAAATATATTTTCAGCGTTGCAAACATTACAGTTACTCTTAGCAGTATGTATTCTCCCTTAAAAGGTGAGTAGACAAACCCATTTGCAGAGTGGACATAGGTGCTCTTGAAAGGTTGAGTACGACATACAAGGGCTATTATTGTTTTATATTGTAGATATCAAATTAACATGCTGAAAATCTGCGTATTATACACGAAAATATACAGTAAAGCTCGTTGTTTAATTTTGTAACTTACAGGGCAGTCACTCTGAGCGAAATGACATTCCAGTCCTTTCATTTCCGTCATTTCTCAATAAAAAAAAAAGCATGTTAACAGGGCGACCAATTTGCTACTTGAATCATATTTCTAAGGATTTTGAACAAAATATAACTCCTCAAACTATAAACATGGTTTCAACGAAGGTCAATTTTCGATATGGACTAGCTTAGAAGACCTTTATGAATAATCTGTAAGGAATGGTGATAAATATAGACGCCTAACATTAAAATCTATTGTAAACGATCAATGGAATAAATATTATATTATTGATATTGAAATCAAATGTAATCGTACTAACATAATGGCTTTGACTTGTATCTATGTCTATATAGAGATTGAATAGAACATACTTTTAAATAGATTTTATAACCTTATAATACATTAATGTGGCTAGATCTCTAGTACTTTCTAAAGAGTGTGTAACAAGGGGTGTGTATATCAAGTAAACATGGCCTGAAGACGAACGCAATCGTTGGACTAAATTGAAAGTTGGCACAGTCATGTAAAAATCAGGAACTCCCTTTTACAGATCTTTTGTAAATTAATACTGATAAAAAAGGAAGAAGTTTGCAAAATATGTTGGAATTATTGCGAGTTGGCAGTTATTTTAACAAATATGTAATTAAGAAAATCAAATAAATCAAACAAATTGAATAAAATAAACAAAATAAATCAAAATATAAAAACTCAAACAAAACATAAACAGATAAAAAAAACCAAATGAGTTGAAAAAAATGAATAAATTTAATATCTGCCAGATCTAACCGATTTACGTTTTATACAAAATACAGTTGAATCATATTTTACTGTAAATTGTATAGGCAGTTGCATTGTTGGCTAAATTTCACAAGGAATAATTGATACCGTGGTTGAAAAGTTTTTGAACAATACTCCCTCTATAAGCCTATTATATTATTCAATATTACAACGCCGAGACTTATTTTCTTACTCGTGCGTTGAGACAGGTACGACAGTCTGTTTTAACCGATTGGAAACACCACACAATGTGCAATGATATTAAAAAATAGTCAGGGTAGCGGCATCAATCTACTTTTTTCTATTCCAAACTATCGCAAAGTCTTCAACTGGCACTATCTGTATCAAGCAGAACCTTTTGCCAACCGAACAACTAGACGCTTCGTCCTTCGAACATCCGATCACTGAGCGAATGGAATGATATTTTAAGAGATGACACTAGTAGTTGGTGATACGATGAAATACCAAGAATTACAAGCGCTATTGCCATGATCAGTATCAACAACGGTACTTTTATAATGACGATAGAAGGCACATAAAAGAGTAGAATAGGGGCCATTTCTTTAACTATGAATTCTAACAAGGGGTCAAATTGGGATTATTTTTGACGTAATATTTTTAACACTGTGTCCTGGGTTTGACTGAAGACTTGCAATGGGTTGAATTTACATTTAAACGGATTACTCAATTAAAGTCAAATAAGGTAGGTGTGCTTGCTAAATGCATGTTGGATATATTTTCTTGTAAATAAATATAAGAACGAAAGTGTAAACTGATTTATAAGAATACTGAAGCTAGATTTGGTTCGGAATAAGAGAACTTTTATTTAAAAAGTCCACGCAAAGAACTAAACAGGTAATTTGATCTCTGTTGTAGTTGAGATAGAATAAAAAAATTCTATAAAACTTGAACATTTATTAATTAAAACAGTAAAGATAAGACGAAGGATCCTATAGTCTTTTATTTTAGAAAACAAGGTTTAAAGAGAAGATGTGCCTTTACAAATGCTTTATTTCGGTAACAATATGTCAATTTTGAAAAATTGTGAGGTTTCATCGGAACCCCCAATATTTTGTAGATAGTTATGCCCTAGAGGGATTGCCAGTGATATTTCGTAGACCGAGAATTAACTAGTTATATCTTACATATTATATTTATAGTGCATAATATACAAGTACACTGGTATATTTCAGATAATGCAATGCTTAGAAGAGTATATATAATACTTTATATTAGCTTAGGATTAGTGATAAAAGATGGGATGGGGGATGACAGACAAGGGGCAGCTATCTCTGGCTTCACCCCTGAAGATATCACTGCACTTCTTACTACACACAATGACTTCAGACGCCAAAGTAACAGTAGTGACATGCGAGTTCTGGTAAGTACATGTATACTTTTACCCTACCTAACTCTAACCCACAGAATTTTCACCAGGTAAATTAGGAACCGCTTACTCGTCTGAATGCTTACTCACTGGTGCCGTCACTGATTACAAACATTCCTGCTTTAAAGTGTCTCAACCTTATTACAGCAGTTGTTTTGATGGCTTGTTACGTCTTAAAACGAAAGTAAGAAAAAAAGGATAACAACTTTGGTTCAGGAAGGATCATTTCTATCAGCTGTTCATCAGCGGAACCGCTTGGCATTGATCTTTCTCGGCTCACTCGTGCCCATATAGAATGGAACACTGATGAAAGTAGCCCGACAAATCTGGTCGTACCTGTTCCTCGGCATGATATGCACGTTGAGTGAACTATATTAATAAAGAGATTACCGGATATATAAATGCGACTTGTTTTATTATTCAGACATGGAATACAGATTTGGAGGGAATGGCGCAAGGTTGGGTAGATAGTTGTACATTTGGTCATAATCCAGATACCAAAGATAGATTTGGTTTTAGTAATGTTGGTGAAAATTTCTTTATCAGTCAAGGTACCTTGCTTTTGAAAAATAAAATGTTAAAATAAAAGCTATAATCTTAATTATGTAGCTTTTTTAACTATTCAAGTGTGCCATGGTTGCTTAATATTATAGAATATTCTTAGTTTTAAAAATATACCTTAAGTATTGTCAAATGACAAGGATGAATGGAGTTTTACGTCCTAATTTTGTGCTCCAATGAAAATGGAAATAACTAAGATCAATCGTGGGATAGCGAAATGATAATAGGCTGTTATATTGCTGTACTTTGGGATTTGATATTGTCATTGTTTTCGAGGAATGGGTTATACATGACACACTTTTAATTGGTTAAAATAAACATATTTAGATCGAGACTTTGTAGAAAACTTGTGAGATTACACCAAAGATGAAATGTATCAAAAAAAAACAGAAATTGTTGAAATTAGATTTGAATAATCACAGTAGTCTATTTCGTTTGAGAGTACGATGTGAAGCACATTGCCGATTTTGTTGTATATATTTAAGTATTATTAAGAAATAATTATTGTATTCCAGCTGATAGGTATCAAGTTGAAGAGGCCGTAGAACACTGGCAGCAGGAGATACACGACTATGATATCGAAACTCTGATCTGTAAGCCTTCAAAAGTGTGTGGTCATTATACACAGGTAAGGTTTCATAATGATTCTCCGATAACATTGGACATGACCACTATACACAGGTTTAGATACTTTTTATTATGATAATCTGAACATTACTTAAAAATGTGACCATTACCACAGGTAAAGATACTCTGAAGTTTACCGCCAATAGCATACCAATATATATCATGTTAATCTGATAAACTTTAATATTAATTGGTCACTATACACATATTACAATACGCTAAAAAATAGCGTACTTGGCCTCTATAAACAAGTTGATATACTATTATGATAATATGGAGTTTACCAAAGTATTGGCCACTATATACAGGTTAATTGCCAATTTAGGTTGGCAGATGTTTAGGCTGAAAGCTATGTGTATATCTCGAAGTGTATATTTTAGTTTGCTAGCTGTGTGGGCTGATAGCTACGTGTATAACTCGGAAGTGTATATTTTAGGTTGTCTGGGCTGAAAGTTATGAAATGGGGTGTGGCATTAATTGGTGCTCCTTTATTAGTAATAGTTTTCAAGGTTTTGAACAAGGACTTCTTATTGTCTGTAATTATGGACCAGCGTAAGATATTTCCCTTTCAATTTTGATTTAAAAGATATCAGCGTACCTACTGAACAAAACTCAAGAAATCGGTCGCTTTTAAGCACGCATACAGGCGCTTACGCACGCATGAAACGAAACGAAACAAAACGAATACATGAGCATGCATACATGGTACAAAATGGTACTGATGCTTGTGAACATTATTGTATCAAAACTTAAAAAATAAAATGGAACAATAAGGTAATTGCCAGGAAAAACAGATCTTCCCCGGTAAAAAAATTATTTTTATTAGGTAATGGTATTGGAACCGGTCGTCATGATATCATTTCTTTATACCCAGTCTGATTTGCTATTTTATTTATTTATACAGTGGGAATTTTCCAAACACCAAGCCATTTAAACTTGGTCCTGCATGTACAGAATGTCCGGCTGAAGCTCAAGTTTGTTCTAATAATCTTTGTGCGAGTGAGTATATTCTTTTTCATTTCTGCGCGTCTATCAATTCTTAGAATATGCCTATGTTTACGGACAATTTGCCCCCCCCCCTTCCCACCTCGAAAGCGTATAATGATAAATATCAACTGTAAACTCAGGCCATCTCATCTGATTTCTTTTGTGTTTATCTTCAAACCATTTGGACCTCATTGTTTTCAGTAAGCGATCAAACAACAGTATCAACAATACCAGCAATAACATCATCTACACAATCCGAAACAACTACAACAATGACAGGCGTGTCCAGCAATACGGACCCTAGCACCAACGGAAGTGGTTTTATCACCACTACGACGGACACATCAGTGCAATTAGTCACCAACCCAACAGGTACCACTGACATTTGTTAATCTTCATACCATATACCCTACCCAATTGCAAAGATTTAATGATGTCCGGTTTGGTGTCCGATGCGGTCGCTATAGTTGAGCTCCCCTTCAAAAAATTTGTCCCCCTTGATAACCCTTTGCTAGCTACGGGCCCGTCTTACAATATACCTTAGGGGTCCAAATAGTAACAACATTACATTGTTATCTAGAAACAGCACCCGGTGTCAATCTATGATTGAGTTGATCAGTAAGCGAGGTGACTGATGATGTCCAATATCATTTCTATTTTTAGAACCACCAACTGAAGTGGACTTTGAAACGGAAATTGTACAGACGTTTGTTATTTTTGCTTTTGTGGCAGCGTCCGTTTCAGTGTGTTTTATATTCAACACTTTAAGAACACGTTTTTCTCGGAAAGAGGAGGCAAACGATAAACTAAGTGCTTTATAAAGGCCACCTTGTGAAGTAGGCTACTCCTTTATACTCTCCTTGAATCATTGCGATGGACAGATATAGTGATACATTCTGCTTTGGAATTACCAAGGAGCTTTAATTGACTTTCTTGGAGTAACAATAGTTTAAATAGCGAGGTGTGGTTTCTCAGCTTTTAGATCTGTCTATACATGTACATGTAGTTCGCTACCCCTTGATTCTCGCAATATATCCCCTGTACTAAAAATAAAAACTTTTAAAAACCGAAACTTTGATTGATCTTCCAAAATTACAAAATTTTCATTCAGATTAACAAGATATATCCCATACTATTGTTTGTATTAAGATGTCTGTAATCTTGGAGCTTAAATGTGTCCTATACAAAGCTGTTGTGTTTATGCTTAATTATTTATTTTGTAAATTGATTAAAGTGATGTTGTTTTGTAAATGATTTTATATAGGCTATAGCTGAAATAAATTGAATAAAAATGTGCCAGTTTCATTTTATAGATAAATAAATAAACCAAGTATAGGCCTTCCAACGATCCCAACTGGAACACGAAACCCAAAATCCAAAACAACATTATATCAATTGGCAAAACGTTGCTCTTGGTAAAAACAAAACCTGCATGTTTTTATCTTTATCAACGCAAAGTTATTCTAAGACGATCTTTCCTTTTTCAAACTTATATATCACCTCACTAAAGATAAAAAGTCAAAAATTCGAAGTCAGGATTCGCTGAATGGTGTCAGATCTCAACCACTCCCTTTGGAAGACGAAAAAATTAATTTTGCTGTTAAAAGATAAGATGACAATTCTATATACCTAATCAACCTCGATCAACTTAATCATCATCGTATTCATCATCAAATATGGTAGCCTACATAATAACACGTACAACAAAGTAAACAATCAATGTAAACTTAGTTGTGGTCTGAATTAAAAGAAGTATTAATTATCTCCCCTTAAAAAATCACATGATGTTCAAAATGGCGTTGAAATTTTTCTTGGATTTGGGCTGAGTAATATAGAAACTCAGTTATATTGTAAATAGTTTCCGTGTGAGATGATAATTTGTTGAAGATGAAGTTAGATACGTTTATAATACTCCTAGCAGGTTGTCTTTTCTCTGATAATGTGG